CCTAACCTTGCTTACTGACAGTAACCAACATCAGACTTCCATCTGTAGATCGCCGTAAAACCAATTTGTGTCATTTATAACGCCACTTTGAACCTGCGAAAGCAACGAGGCATTCATTCAAGCTATTTTTCTATCATTTCAGCTGAGTTTCTTAGCATGGCATAGTCACTTGGTCTTCTATATTTTGTCTTTATCTAGCAAAGCTAGAGTTTATATAGTGTTGAGGCTGGCAAGTATCGATAACTGGAACCCATTATGATTCATCTAGGGAATTATTACTTTAGAAAGACGGCTAAAGCTCCCTGGCTCAGGAGAATTTAAATTATACTCTTGATTCAGCAATTAAAAAAAATGTTATTCATAATTCTTGGTAGGGAATTCTCAGGTTCTAATAAATATGCTCGAAAAATCACTATACTTCAATATTTAAGAGCAGCTATTCACATATACAACATAATAGATTGAGATTTTAAATCCGAATTTGTAGTTATTTGGCCATTTAAGAGTAGGAGATATTTTATTTACTTCAGCAAAGCCTGCTTTGACATTGTACCCTAGGAATTAAGATTATTGGAGAGCTAAACTTGGATCAATTACACCTGTGGATAGAGGCTGTAATGAACCAATTTAAATGATCAAATCAGCTAAAAGCTTAAAATCTGACAATCTTACTTTAAAGCCGCAAGTCGCCAGCATTTTCTGCTTATCCTTCTCGCCCGGACCTATGTGTCTCCGCTCAAACGAGTTGACAGGAATAGTCGTCTCCTGGCTACAAGCTGATCTTGCAAAATTACTCCATCCTTTGCAAACACCATGTCGAGCTTTCGACTTAGTAACTGCCAGATAAGTTCCAGTGAACATATTCGGAATGTAAAACGCCGAGTAAGTGTAGGAAATTCCCTGCTTTCTGGTGTTCTCAATACATCACTCTACAAAAATGTCTACATATATATGAAATTTGGCTGTGGCGTGGGTTGATCTGTCAATAAATAAACGTGATGACGTTTGGTTTTATAGGCTGTTGCCGAGGCTGGCATTCAAATACAATATGACAGTGATTTTAGGCGTCGTTAGCGCAAGGCGTGTTTGTAATTTCACTGAGGAAGCCTCAATACATGTTGTTCACGAGATGTAAACTGCAGATAAATAGTTCGTCCGTTTGTGAATACTGGTGAATACACACATGGGGTGGCCCCCTCAATATTGCACACCTGCACAAAGACAGTAATAGTTAGTTTACACTCTTACTTCCTTATTTTAGATAGGGTGGGGAGTGTTAGATATAGTATGGCCGCTTTGCCTATGGGTGTGTCTCTTGTCAACTCCTAAAAGTAAATGAATTTAGTATAACTTTGTTATATTTAAAGCGATGTTTCAGGTATTTCATGTATATCTTCCGGACCACTAAAATTATTTCAACAATGGGATTGCGACTTTTGCTTTTACCATAATAGGTCTACTTTTGCTGGGTCCAGAGTGAATGTGCTCTCTTCGGTTCTTGTGTATATCTTCATATTAATTCGCTTTAGTCCTTTTTCTATCATGTATACTGGGAGACAAGGCTAAAATTGTGAAACAGTTGCATTTTCGTCATTGGAAGATTTAAAAAATCGGATATTAATTTTTATTAGAACTGTGATAACTCTAAGGGATGTTGGTTTGCTGAGGCAAAGCAGGGCGAGATGGTTACAATAAGGTTGTCAAAGACATTTATTTAGTCGTGTTTCTAAAAATTCGATTTAACCTTGAATAACATCACCATAGAGATTAAAGTCCGGCTAGTGTTACATTTCAGGTTGTTAATTAGTCTGATAGTGAATCAAGCTAGACAATTATTTTCCACTTTCTTCCTATTATTAGGGTTGATACGATTATAGTATGTCTGGCAATTTGCCAGTTCTTGTAGGTAAAACTAAGTGCAATTCAAAGCTATGAAGAAAAACTGGGTTTCGAGAATATTTAGACTCTTTTTCTAGATCAGGCTGCTACAAGGTTTTGTACTCATGTGGTAAGGTATATGTGGGTGAGACCTGCCGACCCATTCACAAGAAACTATGCGAACACAAAACCTCTCATAAAGGTCTGTAGGTGCGAAAATCCGAGCTC